ATATTAGTTATATAAGAAGTAGCCTTCAAAATGTCAGTACAGTGTTGGAAAATATTGAGTAGTCATGAAGAAAACAGATAAACAGATTACAGGATGAGTAGTCAAAATAAATAAATATTGAAAAGGCTTGAATAAACAAACAGCATTCATCAGAAAGCAGGGTTTGGGGTTTTTTTATACTGGCCATTGGAGAAGGGGCTGCAAAAAAGACAGGATTCAGAAATGCATGATTTAATGTCCAAGACTGATCAAAGAAATTTCTAACAAAATTATGGGACATGTGTCTATGCATATGAGATGAGGAAGAATTTTAAGAATTGAATTTAGTGAAAGAATTATGAAGCTTATTAGTCTTATTAATTGTTCTGCTAAATCAAAGCTGGCATTATGGGTAGAAGTGAATTGATCTTTTAAAAAATACACATGAGTTACAGTGGATTTTTTCCAAGAGTTTGAATCACTGCAAATTTGGAAGATAAACAGCTTGAAAGTTGAGATTAATGATGTTTTTAGGATGGGTAATAAATAATGATCGAAACTACCATGTTAAATTTGAGTAAATACTGCTCAAAAGAGGACTTAAAATTCACCTGGAGACAGTAATGGTTTGTAAGTTAATGAGCAGAACTGATGGGTGTTAGATAAGGCACTGAAGGGAAGACTCTCAGCTGGTGCATTTTGGGACACCTCATTATGCCAATTCAGGGATGCCAGCGTCTCTGATGTTTGTGTGCACATTTCTACTGGGTGATGTCTGAAGTGGTGCATTTGGGTGAAAGTTCCAGTTTCTTTAGGCAGTGCTAGTCATGTTTGAGAGTTACAGCTGTCCTGTAATTTTCAAATGTTACCTGAAAATGTATTTTCTTTTTTCTATAATATTAGTAAATAGTAAGAAAAGGTACTGAATAACAAACCTGTTTTCTTTGCAAGCCTTGGGAGTTAAAGCGCAAGGTGGACTGTTCCTAAAGTCAGTTCCTTTGTTTTCTGCAGTACTTCCAAGGTGGACTATATACATGTTTGTTTATGGAATACAGGAAATAAAAGAACACTTTTATTGAGTTTGCCTTGTCTGAAAGTGGTACTCATTATGTTTGAGCCTCACAATTCATCTGCTTATGCACAGCAGTTCCACTGTCTTGAACAGTTCTACACTTAGTCTTGGGTAATGAGATAGTTGCAATCTCTTGTGAGTGATTGCTGTAGGGTTGGCTGCCATTTAGGGAACCCTGTTTCGCTATAAAAAGTAAACTTTTCTATGTACCTTCCAGTCCAAGACTTTCTGTGATTCTATGAACTGCCCAGTCACAGCATTTATGAGACCTGTCTGCACATCAAGAGCGTTTTGTTAATAAAGTAATACACAGAATATCTGTTCTTAAAATCAGACTTTTTGCTCTCCATCATTTAGCACATTTTTCAAATGTCAAGAATCAAAGTCAACCAATAGTAATGTCTAAATAAGTTGAAGACCAATACTTTAAAAATATTTATTGGGAAGACGAGTAATTTGTCCTCAACCATGTATAAGACTGGTGAAAAATCAACAATTTAACTTTCTTTGCTCACTAGTCACATTTTCTTTATGCCTGAAAAATGATACTGCATTCAATTTCATTGTGTTTGACATTCCCAGTATAAAAAGGATCTCTTAACAAGGTGAGATGAAAACTTGCAGAAGTGACTGGAAAATCTCTCTTATGCCATTCCCATCATTTTTTTGTGGGACAGAATGTTACTTTTCTAATTGTCAGATTCTCTTTTTTAAACTTTTTTTTTTTTTTTTTAGGTCTGCCACTCTATATTTTGACCGTCTTTTTGTGTCCAGTATTTCACAGAAAATTTATTTTCTGAAAGAAATTTGAAAATCAACAGAAAGTTGATTTATGCTAATGCGAATGACCAGGATAGTTAATTGCCCATTTACTCTAGAGCAAATCTGTATTTTCTTCTTTCAAGTATTGCATCTTTTTAGAATTAATATTTACACAAACCAAATACCAGCTGAATTACTGCTGAACCATTTTTCAATGAGGAATTGTAAACAGCAACAGTGACTTCAGTAAAACCACTGCTTTGTTGATTTAAACTCCTTAGCTATAATGATGAAATACATGTTATTCAGCAGGGTTGTGGACTTAAGAAGCCTGAATTTAATGAATGATGAGCACCATTAGGTTTTATTACATTGCATGTAGTGCCTAAACATAGCCCTAAAGACTAAACCCAAGTAAATCCCATTTAAACATTTTGGCTGAGGAAATTATCATCATCCATGTGTTTAAACATGGAAGTACACTTAGAGAAATTAAATAAGTGTGATAAAATGAGTGTATTTATAGTAGGATGTGCACTTGATATTTATTTTTAGGAATGAGTATTCAGTTGATTATAACTTTACATGTTTTCTTGTGAAATCCTTCAGTTCTGGCAGATAATAGATATACCAATGTATTGTTTCAGTTATTTTTAATACATACTTCTTATGAGGCCCAGTATATGAGAAGCTGTTCTGGAGAGCTGGTCCCCTGTCAGAAAGTATGCTGTGGGGATTTTTGTTATTTGTTTGTTGGATTGATAATTTCCATATAAAAAACCTTGCCAGTTAATTTTTAGTGAATTCATGAATGCTTTAAGTATTGCTCTTATAACTTAGCAAATTATACCTATTTTAAGGGTTTTATATTTTAAATGTAAATAAATTAATTGAATGTCAGAGCATGTACTAATTGATGGAAGGAGTATTAGCTTCTTTCCTGCCTGTTTTAAGAGAAAAACCATATTCATGACTTCTGTTTATGTTGCTAATGAATAAGGATTTTCCCCAATATATTATAGTAACAGACTGTGAGTTAAATACAGAGTAACGCCTTTTAGGAAGTAAAATATTTATACTTCTTTGTATTAAAAGTAAGTTCCATTTTTGTCAATTTTATGGATTTGTCTAGAAAGGAAATTATACTTGATAAATAATTTAAATTCAACTGCAAAACTACTATTATTGAATAGTTAAACCTATTTAACATAGCTATGCAGTCTGGACAAAGGTTCTCCAACATTCCATTTCAAGAAATGACTTGCATTTCATTAGAAGGTATTGTCACCCATCAAAGTAAAAAAAGAAAAAAAAATTGAAACTTGGTTTCTAGTAACTATGTGACAAGTGTGTATGTATACTGACATTTTTCTAAGAACGCTTAGCTATGCATTTGTAGCAGGGAACTATAACATACCCATTTCTGGACTTATGAAAAATGTGGGGTTTAAATTATCTCATGCATCTTATTGATATGTTTTCTTTCTAAAGTAGATACTGAATTTTATTTCCTTCTATGATATTATAGGTTATCTGTTAATAGAATTCTTTCATTTCCATTTGTTCAACCCAGAAATATGAATGTCTCAGAAATCATGTTGCATTTTTCTAACGTCTGTACAGTCTTTCAAATTCCATAGGTCTGTGGCATGATTATTTTGAAGGTACACTTCAATGAAACACATTAATAAGCACTAAAAAAATAGAGTATAAATTGACTAGCTGCTCATGTGAGAGTTGTTTGAAAGTGACTTTAATTGAACACTTCTGCAGTTGTGGCCATAATATAAAGTTCAACTCCAGCCTTTTTTTTTTTTTTTTTTTTTTTTTTTACCTGTAAATCTTACTGGTTTGCTTGTATTTGCATTTACTCATTCTTTTATCACCTTTTGAGGACAGGAGACAGTTGTCACACTTGGAGAAATACATAATTTGTGATTAGCTAGAGGAAGGCTAAGGAAGTGAGAACCTTTTAGACTCTATCTGCATCACATACTGTATCCAACCATCTGAACAGATAAAATTCTCTTAAATTCCATTGCAACTCTTGTTGAGGATTGACCCTGGCTGGACACCAAGTACACTCCCCTTCATCCTGGTCTCAACTTCACTCTGGAATTTTTTCTCTCCTCCCTCCCAGCAGTGCAGAGGGGCAGGAAATGGGTCAGTTCATCACACGTTGTCTCTGCTGCTCCTTCCTCATGAAGTGTAGGATTCCTCACAGTCTGCTCGTGCTCTGGTGTGGGGTCCCTCCCCACAGCATGCAGTCCTGCAGGCACAGATTGCTCCAGCATGGGTCCCACACCAAGTCACAAATCCTGCCAGTAAAGCTGGCATCTACTATTGTATTCATGACAGTAAAGCTGCTCCAGTGTGGACTTCCCACAAAGTCACAGCCTCCTTTGACCATCTGGTTGATCTGGTGTGGGGCTCTCCACAGGCTGCTGCAGGTGAAGCATCCATGGACTCCATGGGCTGCCGGGCCAGCCTGTCTCATGCTGGTCTGCGCCCGGGCTGCTGGGGAATCTCTGCTCCAGTGCCTGGGGCACCTCCTCCCTCTCCTTCTGCACTGACTTTGATGTCTGCAGGGCTGCATCTCTCACATATTCTCAGTCTTCTCTTCAGCTACAATTCTGTAGTTGTCTTTTTTTCCCCCCACTTTTAATTACTTTATCCCAAAGGCTCTGCCACCATCGCTGATGAGCTCGGCTTCGGCCAGCTGTGGGGCTGGCTATCTTGGAGCTGACTGGCACTGGCTCCGCAGGACATGTGGGGGATCTTCTCACAAGAAGCCACCCCTGTAGCTCCCCCATTACCACAGTCTTGCCAGGCAAAGCCAGCAGAGACCGTGCATGTAGAAGCACTCCGACAGCTGAGATCTACAGTTGATTCTGTACTACCATCTGTAGGCTTATTGCAGTGCAGTCGCTTCAGCATTTGGGGCTTTTTGTTTCTTTCCTTCCCCACCTGTAGAATAAAGATTTTAATATTTACTAGCTTTACAAAAGAATGTTGAGATTCTGCAGAAGAAATTTGAGATCAAATACCTACCACATACATATTACTCTTATGTTAGCAGAAGCAAAGAAAAGTGGTTGAATTATTTAATTATGCTTTAGTTACAGATATTACCATATTAAGACGAGAAAAATTAGAAGAAATTTAATCAGTCACTTTGTTTTTGCAGGTTCTTTCATGTTGGTGAATACATCTGGAAGATTTTCAGGACAGAAAGCTCACCTCCTGATGCCCCATCTGAAAGAAAATGATACACATTGTATTGATTTTCACTATTATGTTTCAAGCAAAAGTGGAGCTAGCCCTGGCATTTTGAATGTATATGTGAAGGTTAATGATGGTCCTATTGGTAACCCAGTCTGGAACACATCTATCACTGCCACTTGGAGCAGAGCAGAACTGGCAATTAGTACTTTCTGGCCCAATTTTTATCAGGTATGTCTTACTTTCTATGAAATTTTGTTTCTTATAATAGCTGTCTCATTTTAACTTTAAATCAAATAACTTTCAGTATTTCTGGTTGATGATCATCTTAATCAGATTTTTGTACATGATGCTAAATGTTTGTTTTTACATACATATGGCTTTGTTTCTATGTTTATGTATATTTATTGAAGTGTGTGAAATGCACAAATGCTCTAAAGGTGGATGAAATAATTATGCTGGAAAAAATCTAGAAATTTTGCCATTGATTTCTGTCAATTATCTCTGCTTCTCTGTAATAAATTCACTTGTTCTTTCAGTTCAGTAGGGGTGGTGGAATTGAATGCCAATAGATTTTATTACGGTACAGTCTTCAAGTTTGATTTAGATCAGCAATACTTGTTGCTTTAAAACTAGCAGAATCCTTTGAATCCTCAGTTCAAGTCTTAACTCTGAATGAAATATCCATTTGTCCAGTAGTAAACATAAATATAATAGTAGATGCCATAGGAATGGGATTTTGAGTGCATCCTAAAGATTCAGGGGAATTTCACTTGACAGTCCCTTAGGATGCTGGGTTTTTGTAGGAAGGTTTAGATTATACAGTTACTTACTGTTCTGTAGTGGTTCAGTGTTTTTCCTTCTTCCTCCTGTGAAAATACAGTCTGTCTCCACAAACAAGTAACTTAGTTTAATAAGAGCAGACCAGTGGCATAGAGGTGTTACTGAGGCTCCTGCATCTTCACTTGAAGTTTGGAAAGTTTGAATTGTGTTTTATTTGTTTGCCTGTACTGAATATTATCACCATTCTTATGGTTTGAAAACTTCTGAAGAAAAGCCATCCCAAAGATGTCAAGTTCCTTGACTGTAGACCTCCCTGGGAGGTGCAATGTTGCTCTTCCACCATGCTGTTCTAAAGTGGGACACCCTAATTCTTACAGCAATGCCCCAGGTACCATTGTCACATGTGGCAGAGTCTTGTTGCACTTCCTGCATTTGCTGTTTCAGGTAACCAGGTATTTGTTGTCCCGTTATTTTTTAATGATGCGTTTGGCAATGTCCACTGCTGGTACTCTGGGAGGCTGCTCCTTTCTGTGGCTGCAACATCTGATTTGTTAGGATGTCTCAAGTGAACTCAATCTGTCCTTTTCAAACCCTTTTTCTTTTAAGGAAAGAAAAAAAAAAAACTGAAGAACTTTCTGGAGTCATTGCCCTATGATTGTTTCACCCACAGTGAAACAGATAGTCCTACTCAATAAGATGAGTTTGGAACACTTTATTCTTAAAATGTGGGGTGCCTGGCAGCGGATGCAACACTTGAAGACCCAAAAGAGCGCATTTTTTCATTTTTTATTGCAAATGAAAGTGTGTTCCTGGGCTGGATATTGGGTATTCATGGGGTCTGCATTTACATCCAGTGTACTACTCAAGATTCCTAGGAATTGCTGCAGCTGTGTTGTCAGGGCTTCCTGGAGAGTATTCAGGGAAAGCTTACAGACATCTCAGCAGACTTCATGACGGATCTTTTATAATTGTCTGCAGGCTTGATGAGGTGATACTCTCATGCGTTTTCGAGAAGAGCAGGCATATTGTCAGAGCTGAGGTTCACTTCAGCTGTGTAGGAGAAGCTGTGTGCTACCTAATTCTCTGGAGCACAAGGCTTTATCTTGATCATAAAGTCCAAGCTTGGTTTAGTCATACATCTCTCAGGTGAAAGGGCAGTGTATATTTTGTTGCCTGTCAGGGTTCAAGGAGTGTTTGCTCTCTGTCATTTGGTTTGGTTTTAGGTCATCCTGTGAGGAACAAGGAGTTGGTATCCATAATCTTTAAGTGTCTCTTCCAACTCAGGACATTCCCATGATTCTCTGACCTTACACCAAGACCTCATGTTGCCAGTTTGATGCCAGTGTTGAGAATGCCTTCCAGTGCTGCCAAAAGGCCTTTCTACTTCCACTGAAATACTGAGGACCACTCTGTGTTGTTAGCTTCAGTGGATGTTGAGAGAAGAGGATAGAGGATAGGCAATTTTGTGGCTGACATTGTGTATAACTCAATGGTTTATAATGTGGAATTTAGTGGAAGGTTTTGTGAACATGGTGGGTGGTTCAGGAGTACTGAATACTGAGTAAATGTCTGACTATGTCACTTCTGCCCAAGTCTGAAATGTCCCCATCTGTGTAGTGAATTAGAGAGCTTACAGTTTTCTGTCTTCTGAAAGGACTCTGGTTTTTGTGCAGCAGAACTGCTCTGGAATCAGCAGTCAGTAAAGAAGGTTATGCTTCAGAGTCTCACTCTAGCTCTGAATCAAAATAGGGGAATTTTAGTACAAGAAGCCTTGACTCTGACTATTAATTTTAAGGTAAATTAACATATTCTTAAAAATACACAAAACCTCTGACAGTTTGAAATGTTATTACTAATGTTATTAATAATAATCTGTGTCAGATTTCTGACAATACGATATATATGATATTTGGCCATAGAAACAGAAGGATAACCTTTCCCATCCTCTTTTTCCTCAAGACCTGTCGTCTGGACTGTTCACCCTTATTTGTAGGTGAACCTTTACATGCTTGGATGGGGTACTGCAGTTTAGCAGATTACCATGCATCAGCTGATGTATAATAGATGCCTGAGCGTGTCTGTAATAGATTCCATGTGCTCTCCTTGCTGCTGGAAATGTTGACATTTTTTGCATAATCTTTCTTTCACTGTGGAGTATAGTAAGTAATTTTCTTTGCATTTGCTGCATATAGTCTGAAATAATACCTGGTTAGGTACTGCAATTTAGCTGATGTGCCAAAAGATCTTATGCTATGTTAATATCCATGGCCGAGCAGGGAATCAGTGTTAAATACTGTAGCTTCACTGGTTTCATTGTAAATAAGCTCATTTATTTTCAAGGAAGTGCTGTCACCATTTTAAGAGCTTACAGTTAATTGTCTTCATTTTTGGTTGCTTCCATTCTCTCAGAGATCTGTGATGCAATTTCCTCACTTGAGTGCTGACATTTGCAATTTTTCATTGTTTCTGAACTCCTTTCATCAGTTTTCATGCTTTTTCTTCTTCACAGAGGGGAAGACAGGAAGTTAGAGCTATATGTGGATCTTGTGAGAATATGGTTCCAAGTTAGGTGACAGCTCAGGTGACTGCAGGAATAGTGGGGAAGGCACAGGACTCACTTGATAGGTATATAACACAGTACCAAGTCAGTTTCCTGAGCTACTATTCATTTTAGTCCAAAACTCCAACCTCCTTTGGCACAAATTCACGTGTTCCACACAAACTCTCCAAAATGTACAAGACTTCCTCCCAGCGATTTTCTGAGTTTGTCTGACCTTACTGAGCATAATTGAGATGGAGCCCTTTTTAACTTTTCTTACACTAAGGTTGGTAGCTTCCCAATGAGTAATCTCCAAGAGAAGACATGACATTAATGGGTGAAGGGACAAAGCAATGTAATTGTGTGATTGTTGTGTTTTAAATCACATAATCTGTGTAGCCATCCACATCTGTGAATGTTTTATAATTCCATTCCCTTAGCAGAACACCTGCAAGATGTCTAGATGCAAATGAAACCGAAATGTACTACAGAACTCTGAGAACAAATTATATATGATAACATTTCAGAGTTATAATATTTATACAATTCAATGTTTTTTCAAACACAGTGTGTTGTGTCTGTTTTGCTGTTGAAAAATGTAGGCAAAATAGCTCCCACTAAATGGTAGCTGACTACAAATCAGATTATGTGGTATGGAGTGAATTTTAATCCAACTTCTAAAGATTTCTTGGTTCAAACCACATATTGTGAACGCATACAAGCAAAGTGTTCAAAAGATTTAATAATTAACAGTAGTTTATTATTAGAGCACCAGTTGCCCCAGCTTGTAAATATTTCTCAGGTTGGGTTTCTATTTAGAATCGATTCGTTAGTAGTGCAGTCTTTGAACTAAATAATTAATTTCTTTTAATGAACCCTTTTTTTTTGCCGGGTAATTACTTGTATATGTTGCACGCCATGAATATCACAAATCACAATTGCAACCTGCATATAACAACATTAATTGTTGATTACTTGCTGATTATTTAAATTGTCAAGCATTCTGACATTTAAGGATATATTTAATTCCATAATTAATGATCTTCTAAGTACTACTGCCTAACATCTGCCATTGATTTTAGGGTATGTCTGAACTGCTGTCCAGTTAGTGATAACAGTGTGCTTGCACTAACATGGGTTCAAGCTGCCAAACACCTTCTGAGTCCAAGATAATCAGCACAGCTTGTTCTTTTCTGCTGTGCCTGCTGGTCTCTGAGCTATTTGTTTCGACATAGCTGGTGTATTTCTGCAGGTACAGTCTTATTTCTGTTTTATAAAATCACTTTAGGAATGCTCCCCTGAGGAAGCATTGCCTTCCTCTTTTTAACATTGTGCCCAGGAGAAATTGTTTGCTTTACTGAGCTATTGTCTACTTGGTGCATCTTAAGCAAGAGCATCAAGGAGTTTATCGTGCCTTTAGAGACAGCCTGCAAACAAAACAAAGCTTCACATAATTCTTAAGACCTTCACCCTTCTCCTAACTTGAGTAGAATTAGAATGTATATGGAAAAAGAGAATTTAATGTTACATAGATTTTGCTGTAAGTGGCAAGATTGTTTTCAGATTCTTGGGGAGCAGTCTTAGTAGGTTGAGAGGCTCTGAAGTTGACCCTTTGAGATACAATCATGAAAAGGCTCCTCTTCTAGTGAGGAGAGAGTGGCAGGGTTTTTTCGGTGTATGTTTTTATTTTTTTAATGTTTTGATGTTTTTTCTCATTTGGATTTTTTAGCAGGAGTACAATCTGGTGATTTCAGGGTTATTTTCCCTTGGTTAGTTAATTATTCTCAAAACAATTAGTCATATTTAAAATTAATTTTGTGTTTTAGAAGTGTTGCCATTTTGGAACATCACAATATGCAAAAGCTACTACTGAGCTGAGTAAGGTGAGGGGATTGTGTTCCCTGCTTCT